ATCGGCTGAGGGGCGGCAACATTCACCCTGTAGTATCTGGTGAATGTGCTCGGAGATGCCCATGTGGCCACAGCACATATGTCCTCCAGGGGCACACCTCTCAAGGTCGCCCATGACGTGGAGACACTCCTGGTAGAGTGGCACTTTACTCTGGATGGCAAGGGACGGTAATTTGCCTTGTATGACGATCCAGTGGGACAAGCGCTGTTTCGAGAGCGCACAGCCCCTTCTCGGACCACCGTAACACAGAAAGAGCTGTTCAGACTGACGCATGCCTGCGGTAGTCTGGACATAAGCTCTAAGGGCCAGCACCGGGCATAAGAGTCTTGACCTCTCTTCCCCCTCTCCTGAAGGGGGGTCAAACCGTGCCAGCTGGATAGGCCGATTTTAAAATGAGAGCGTGCCAGCACCTTAGGGAGGAACGCTGTGTTCGGCCATAAGGTGACACCTGAGCCATCTGAGTTCCACCTCAGACACGAGCTGTCCACGAGAGGACAAGGCCTGAAGCTCGCTTACACGCTTTGCTGAGGTGATGGCAAGAAGGAAAGCAGTCTTGTCTAAGAGCCACCTCAGTTCTACCTGTGACAAGGGTTCAAAGGGAGGCGAGCATAGGGCATCCAGCACCAAGGGCAGGTCCCATGTAGGAGCCCTTGGGATGTTCGGGGGGCGAAGCCTCAGAACTCCCCTTAAAAAGAGGAATACCAGCCTATGGCTCCCCACTGTGTTGTTGTCAACCCTTGCGTGTTTGAGCTGATATAGCAGCCACATACACCCTGACGGTAGCGGGACACCGGCCGTTGTCCAGGAGGGACTGCCGGAACTCAAGGATAGTAGGCACAGAGCAATGTACTGGGTCCTCATTTCGCCCTTGGCACCAGTCAAAAAACAGTTTCCACCTGTTTTCGTACTGCCTACGAGTAGATGGTGCCCTTGGATTGAGAATAGTCCTCCTGACAGGCTCTATGCAGTCGCTCAGCAGTGGGTCGGGCCCTCCAGTGGCCATACCCACAGCTGGAGGCGGCAGGGGTCGGGGTGCTACATCCCACCCTCCAGCTGAGGTCCTTCCTGTTGGGGAGACGCCAAGGCGTCCCGCAACAGAGTCTGTGCAGCAGGGAGAACCAAGTCCTGGCTGGCCAGAAGGGGGCCACCAGAAGAAGCCTGTGGAGGATGGAACAGGAACCAATTGTGTGCCGTGAGAGGTAAATGGACTGTACTTATATAGCGCTTTATCCAGTCTTTAAGACCCCTCAAAGCGCTTTACATACTACATGTCGCTCACCCATTCACATCCATTCATACAGAGCAATGTATGTTACTCTAGGAACTAACATGCATACATATTCACACACCGTTGGCCATGCCATCGGGAGCAACTCAGGGTTAAGTATCTTGCCCAAGGATACATCGACATGTTGACTGCATGGGCTGGGATCGAACCCACAACCTTCTGGTTGAAAGACGACCGCACTCCCTCGCAGCCACAGTCGCCCCCAGAGGGGAGCGAAGACGCTCTCTTCACTAGTGCAGTAACAAGTTAGCTTGAGCGAGAGCACTCGGCTAACTTGGGGATGGAACAATTATCTATAAGCTTAAGAATAGATAGCACAATCAGAAAGAAATGGCAGCGATCTCACCGACTGACGTGAAGGAGCGTCCGCTCTATACCGGCCCGCAGCTCCTGGGAGTCCGAGCGGCGATCACTGAGGTCCCCGCTGTCCCCCCTTGGGAGGGGGACAACTCGTCGCAGCCTTTGGATGGCGAGCGTTTTATCCCCCAGCTCCAATCGAGACTATCACAAGGCTACAGGTAGTGATGAGCTAGAATAATCTAATTTTGAATAGGCTAGCTTGGCTTCTACTCATAAAGTAGTAACCTGTGCCGCGAGAAGATGAAAAAGGACTGAACTCGTTGACAACACCGGAACTTATGCCTTCCGGGGTCATACGTGACTTTGTTGATATAAACATTCGACCTGCGCATGCGCGAGACGGAATATATCCAGTGCTAAGCACCGCCTCTGGCGGTCAGTAAGGATGAAATAGAACTAAATCTTGTACCTCTGCCTTCTCACAGTGACCCGCTGGTGACCAAGCTGGACTTTGACAAAGAGCCCACCCCAGGAACCAAACACTACCCCGCACCTGACGACCTTCGAGAACCTCTGGTGCAGGACAAGATGCCCGACAAGGAGGAAGTGCAGGTACAGTGATGAGTGACTGCTATCACTGTTGACTGATCATTCATAAACATTGTTTTACTCCTGTCTTATGATAAAACGCTGTCAGCTACATGGTTATAATAAATACAAGCTTTAATTAAGACGTTTCCAATGTATTGACTCAAGATGACCTCACTGAGTCAATAAAGGGGAAAGATCCCATGTATGCATTTCACAACTAAAACCTAAAGTTGGTGGAAGCTGGCTGAAGGGTATCACCTCAAAGTTTCCAACTTGCTGTTGGCTTTAGTGTGTGTACAAAATACATGTTTTTATTTAAAGGTAACAACACCAAAGATAGCAAGTTCTACTCACCTTTCTTTTTAAGTATTACATCTGGAATCTGATCTCAAGCAAACAATTGATCTGTGGTTTGTTCACATAAACTTATATATTAAAATATTGTTTTGTTTTTATATATTAAAAAATATTTGTTGACAGTATGTTACGATTATAGAGCATATTTGTGAATTGAATTGAGACACAACCGATGTAACTATAATTTTGGAGGATTAAATAACACCTTAAAGCCCTCTCCCCATCTTTTATTTTTACCAACACCTCAATGACTTCCTTATTTAACAACAATCCACTATTTCACCTCCTGCTTGGTGCTCCCTCTCTGCAGGACGCCCTGGCCTCCTTTGACTTCCTGAACAAGAGGAACAGTATGGCTCTGAAGCCGGAGCTGGACAGGGTGGTGGAGCAGGTGATGCAGCACCCAGAGCTGGAGCTCATCGCCCTGCAGAAGGACACCGAGATAAGGTATTGTGTTCACACTTTCTTCCTGTTCAGACTCTCACGTGTTCAGTGCTGCTGAAACACTCCCCTGGGTGTAAACACCGCCCCCTGGCTATCAATCTGCAGTTTCTGAGTCAAACTGTCATGTACAATACAATAATACTTTATTGTTTGATTGAGTCTGAAATTGTTCTTGCATCACAGCAGCTCAATTAGCATCATCAACATGGACACATTTTTAAGACAAGATACAAGAAAAGAGACATGACATTATAATCATTGAAGAGGATATTTTGAAGACCCTTTAATGTATATTTGATCTGGGATTAACTATATTTAATTTAAGGATTGACTAGTGCACAAAGGAATGAATCAGTCTAACCTGATTAAATCGCGGGACCCTGTATCTGCATGTGGTTTTATATTCAAACCCCCAGCTTTATGCAGGCCTCTCTACATGTATTTCATAATGGATCTGAATGTAAACACTGGTCTGTTTCCAGGGAAGAAGAGCAGTTCCACTTCAGTCTCCAAGACTTCAAATGTGTGGCAGTCCTTGGACGTGGTCACTTTGGAAAGGTACGGTTTGTAAAAACTCCCACAAGAGTAGTAAAAACGTATCCTACAGATCTTTGAAAAGTCAAATAAAATATTTAATTATTTGAATCAAAAATAATAGATCAGTATTCATTAAATATATTTCTAAAGTCTGAAAAAATACTGGTACATGGTAAGATTTATTCTTCTTTTGATGACTTTGTATTCTCAATCTCAAATAATGATTGATAACATCTATTTAAATATTAATAATAATTTACCAAATGCCTCTGATAACGCAGTCTCCAGCAAAATGTAAGCTGCAGAAACCCTATAAATAAACATGAAAAGTTGTTCAAATTTCACAGAACTGAAGGTGAGCCTTTACATTTCTTGTTGTTGTTTTTTTATCAACAATTGAAATGTTTTTTTATATATATGAAGTTGCCTCCCAAATATTATAGTGGGAAGCATCAAGTTCTAACTTTTGAGAAGCTGGAACTTGGAAAAGATGGCATTTTTCCTCAAAATATTACTTGCACAAAGCAGGCACAAGCTGAAATATATTTCCCCTAAAGCTTGTCTGCTCTGCCCCCTCCTCAGGTGTTGTTAGCGGAATATAAGAGCACAGGAGAGATGTTCGCCATCAAAGCTCTGAAGAAAGGAGACATTGTGGCGCGAGATGAGGTGGACAGGTAAATATTTACAGTTTCTGCTCAGACTGGATGTGTAAGAAGATGTAAATATGGAGCTGCTGTAACTCTGTCTCTCTCTCTTCAGTCTCATGTGTGAGAAGAGGATCTTTGAGGCGGTGAACAGCGTGCGCCACCCCTTCCTTGTCAACCTGTTTGCGTGTTTCCAGACGCAGGAGCACGTGTGTTTCGTAATGGAGTACGCAGCTGGGGGGGACCTGATGATGCACATCCACGCTGATGTGTTCTCCGAGCCCAGGGCCATGTGAGTGACCCAATTTGAATTAAAACGGGCTGTTTTCTTTGTATTCAGAAAGGCTATAAGACCTAATCCAGGCTGTTGTATCCTCCTGCAGATTCTACGCAGCCTGTGTGGTGTTGGGGTTACAGTTTCTTCACGACCATAAGATAGTGTACAGGTGAGACTTTGAGAGTCATTAAACTCACACACATCTGACTGGAGCATGACGGCTTTAATAACCCTTTTTTATTTTCAGAGATCTGAAGCTGGATAACCTGCTGCTGGACACAGAGGGCTACGTAAAGATCGCTGACTTTGGGCTTTGTAAAGAAGGTAAAATGGAAACATTAAAAACATTAGAGATGAAACAATAAAACTGCAATACAGTCACCAGACCATAAATGCTCTCATTTTTAGTTTTAGTTTTTTGAGTTTTCAAATTGACTCTTCATTTTTCAGAAAGCATTGTTTTTATAAATGTAGTTTGATTTAAAGTTAAGGCCATGTATAATGTTTCTTAAGTGTGAAGCTACTTAGAAAACACATGTTTGGAGAACTGTGCAGAAATGGCTATAACATTTAAATCTTTGGATTTTGGAATCGGCGTTCCTCTTTGGCTACCTAGAAAATGACTTCAACTGGTTAAGATGGAGTTGAGTAACATTGTTAAATAGCCATTTGATCTGCTAAAATATCTCATTTAATTTTACAAGTCTACACTACATGTGATAAACAAACAGGGATTCATTTTGAGCATAGCTCCATCTCCTGGACTGCCATATGAACTGAAATGAATTTAAGTTCTTTTTTGGTGATTTCATTAGTTTCTAAACCAGAGAATATGTTCCCGTTAACCGAATATTTAACGTCAGACGGATTTTTTTTAACAAGGATGAAAAAATCTGCAAGCAGTCTGTCATTTTGACGGATTAGAACAAACTCGGAACAGCGCCAAAGTTTCCCCGCAGCGAGGCTCCGGTTTTATGCCTTGTTATGCATGCCTGCCAAAAAGGAAATTATATAGTTTCCAAACCTAACTTTGCCAAGCAAATCATGGAAATGTCTGAGTTTTGGCCTAACGCTGTGCGCGCTCCCCCCCCGTTGACACTTCACGAGCGTGCTCTTCTCGGGTAATACTGGATTTTGATGGTTCTGTTACGATCCTGTCCGTCAAAATGACGGGCAGCAAAAAAGTCTAGCGCAACCTCTGCACTATATATATATTTTTGTATGTCTTTTCGGTTGAAGACTGAATCCTAACGTTAGGAATAATGTAGCTTCCAAATGAGTTTAAAACGACCTATTCCTGACCTCAGTTATTGATTGATTTATAGAGAGAAGGTGATGGTTTTATTGATCCTCCTCTGTGTTCCTGTAGGAATGGGCTTCAAGGACCGCACCAGCACATTCTGCGGGACGCCGGAGTTCTTGGCCCCGGAGGTTCTGACTGAGACGTCGTACACCCGTGCCGTGGACTGGTGGGGGCTCGGAGTGCTCATCTTTGAGATGCTGGTCGGGGAGGTGAGGGCTTCCTCAATGTTCGCAGGATTAATGATTACATTGCATGATGACACCTTCACTAGCGTTTAGTCCTTTAACATTGTTATATACAAGTGATTAATGCTGCTTATTCTAGTTTATTTATATAGTACATTTCATACGACCTGCATTTGAAATAATGAGTTAAAATCATACCTGACAAAAGGGGTTATTATTACACTTACTTTTATAATTTTTATTAAGAAGAGAATAATATTACTGATTCTTGAACACAAACTTCACTTAAAGCCAAATAAAGTGTTTTTGTGTCTGCTTTTATCAAAAAGGCTGTTGTAGCAGACCTATGTTAGTTCATGTTGTAGATTATTCCAGAGAGAAGGATCATAATACCTTAAAACAACATAATCTGATTTAGAATAAACCAAGGGTACGGTAACGCATCCTACACACGGTTCCGTCGCGTGCTCCACGCTTCCCATTCACTTTGAATGGGGTGACGTCACGCTGTGCCGAACTGCATTGTGGTTCCGTTGCTTCACTTTGCCTCCGTTGCTCGCGGTGAAAGTTGAGAAAAGTTCAACTTTTCAAGCGCCGACGGAAGCGCCAGCCAATCAAATCATATGCCAGTACACGGAACCGTGTGTACGGGCCGTACGGAGCCCTTTACTTGATGCTCAGTGTCAGCTGTGTTTTCAGTGAGCGTTAGTGACTAATATTCGGCAGTTGTCACGTTTTCATCTGGGCACTTCTCTTTTCAGTCGCCGTTCCCCGGTGACGATGAGGAGGAAGTGTTCGACAGCATCGTCAATGATGAAGTCCGCTACCCACGGTTCCTCTCCACCGAGGCCATCTCAATCATGAGGAGGGTGTGTACGGAGAAATGTGATGACATTTAAAACTGAACTATCAGGAAAATGCTTGTATTTCCCGCCTGACAAACCCTCACTATGCAGATATGTTTATTGTTGACTGTATTTCCTGTTTGTCCCTGTGCCCAGCTCTTGAGAAGAAGTCCAGAGCGACGGCTGGGAGCAGGGGAGAGGGACGCAGAGGAGGTTAAGAAACATCTATTCTTCAGGGTAAGCATCGAAAACACCATTTAATTTACGCTTTGGCACAAACTGGACTGTAGGCACATTTGTGCCGCTGTTAGAACGTGCCATCAGAGCAGAGCACAAAGTGCAGGGAATGCGTTGAAGTTGCTTTTAGCCATTATTTAATTAAACATTTAGCTAGCGGGGTTCCCAAACTTTTTCAGCATGAGACCCAAAACGGAAATGTTGTGGTCCAAAGGGACCCAAGCTCAAAAAATGTCATGATTTTCCATAATATACATTTATAAACAAAGAATGCAACACACCATGAATTTAAAATGTAAATGAAAATATTTATTTAATTATAAAAGTGCATCGCAGCAATTAGGTTTCTCACCATAACAACCTTCCCTTTGAGCTTGCCCAGAAAAAATAAGGATCAAAGCAGAAAGACGAAACATGGGACGTGCAGTCAAGTATATACAGTATAAATCAAATTTCAATTATACAATTATCAAAAGTGCAATATTAAGTTTGTCGCTAGCTCAAAAACTATGTACACACCATTTTAAACTATTTGAAATGAACAAAGAACAAACATGTTGTAAACAGAAAGGGACAAAACACTAACTGAAGTGCAGTCAAGTGTATTCAGTTAATCACAGGTGAAACCAAATTTAAATTATCAGAAGTGCAACATTAAGTTTGTCACTAGATCAAAAACTATGTACACACATTTTTTAAACACTTTTAAATGAACAGAGCTGTTTTAAAACACTCTGAGAGACAAAGAAACTCCAACACTTGGCAACTGATTAACTTTTTCTTTGTGGAGGCTGACTTGATAGGATGCCCTCAGTGCCCCTCTGTTCCCTTGATAGGATGCCCTCAGTGCCCCTCTGTTCCCTTGATAGGATGCCCTCAGTGCTCCCCATGTTCCCTTGATAGGATGCCCTCAGTGCCCCTCTGTTCCCTTGATAGGATGCCCTCAGTACCCCTCTGTTCCCTTGATAGGATGCCCTCAGTGCCCCCATGTTCCCTTGATAGGATGCCCTCAGTGCCCCTCTGTTCCCTTGATAGGATGCCTGAAAATAACAGAGAAGATATTATCATTAACATTGCTGGGTTATTGGGTGATTTTTAACACCAGCCGGCGTACGCTGTATACCCAATGTGGACCTGGCAACCGCATTTATAGCGCATTACATTACATGTTACTTGTTAGACGCTTTTATCTAAAGCGACTACAGACTCAATACTGTGGGGAATCCCCACAGAGGGATTTTGACAGGGTTGTTGCACAAAAGATCCAAGCGCGCACAGAAGAAATCTGAGAGCAGACATTTCACGAGCGCACAGAAACAGCCTGAGTGCAAGGAGAAGGTTTTAAACTAGAACACAGGAAATCTGTAAGCGCAGCAATATATCTGAGTGCAAGCGTACAGTTTGAGCAGAAGCAGAGCAAATCTAAGCGCAAGCAGGCA